TGTTTAAGAATGAAACCATTATTAAAAAATATTTGTGTATTGGCTAATACTTTACGTATGTTATGGTTAAAACAATATCATGTTTAAGATATAATGATACTGTATGATATTGCGCTTAATAAATTCTACCCAGCAGTAAATATCCGCTAGAATACCCCTTACTTTACGCACGTTAGAATTGTGCTTTGCAGAAGAAACGTCCATCCGTTTTATAGTCTAGATCGAGCATGATCGGAGCATAAAACTACGCGTAAAAATGAGATGGGAAGAGGCGAGCATCAATTTTTTTATCTGTGATTGAATTACACAGTTATCAGCCAGTATAGCTAGAATATGTTTGTACTATTTAGACCTCGATTCAATACAACGACCTCTTTTTACATGTTTTTTAATCGAACATCAGGCTTATTAATAGTGTAAAGGATATAATCTTTGAAATACACAATAATTAAAAAAGATTGCTCACAGTTTGCAGCATGGCGAGCCACGTGCAAGGCCAAGATTGACCTGCCTCTGCTTCCCAAGCGCACTGTGGCTGCTGTGGGAAGCTGTAGGACGGCTGCGCGTTCCGTACAATTAGCGGACGAGACATCATACGGCGCTGTATTGTCTGCAAGAACGGCCCAAAAGCGGTTAAGTTCTAAGAGGAAAGCCCCCATCACCTAATTCGGTCGAAGTTCTCCGCCAGGAAAGCCTATCAAACGTCAAGAAGGCGATGGGTCCTGACACGTACCCCAAAAGGAAAAGAGGCGCAGCCGCCCTCGCAAGCTGCCGCTCGAAACGCCATGTATATCGAGCAAAAAGAAGCAGTAGAAGAGTAAGCAATGGTAAATATAACCTTTTAGTCCCCCATTTTTCTACCTATTTTTGTATCTACTTTAGTATACCGGACTACAGTGCGAGGTTTGGAGCCACACATACGGTAGGCTGTCTATGGCGCAGTCAGTAGTGTTGACATACCTAAATAGCGTAGCACGTTTCGAATCATATTTAGCACATGGTATCTACTGTGGACAGGCGCAAGATGGCCGTCCCTATCTACATACGCGTCACACGTACACTCGCTCACTTGGACAAAGTCAAGACAACGATATCTGTATCGTCAATGTTCACAGCGTATATTCCACTAATGTGCGCAAGACAGATCGCCGAGTACTTACCGTGATCCTTGGCTCCTAAGCTCTGGGTTATCAGACCGAGCCGATTCTTGACCTAAACTACGTCGGCCTATGGTCCAATCTGGAAATCCCTACACCAGAGGTTCGTTGACTTTTTTTCTTTTTGAGGAGATCAAAACAACGAATCAATGTTTTTGGGTCACTCACCTCCAATCATTACCGCACCAAGTCCAAATCCCACTGATCAACACCAAGAACTTGATCGACAGCGAAGAGTACAGATCTCATGTTGACGCCGGGCCACCTCGAGCGTTTGGACATTTAAGCGCATTAAAATGGAAGTACAGTATTGAGTGAGCACTACACGCGACGAATGCGCTGCTGCATGCGTAGACACGAGCATGTGTGCGGATATGCAGATCAGACAAACGGATGTGGCAAGTCGATGTGTCTGTACGCAGAACCGTACTTAGGGCCCTGTTCAAATTTGTCAAGATCAGAGCTGGGGATAGCTATAGGTGTACCCGGCGCGCACGTTAAATATCTGCTAGCAGACGCGCGGTCAGCTAGCCTGTATCTCTGCGGTATGGCATGTGCCCAGTTAGTGACGCGCCTGGTCATATAGACCGATACATCAGAAGCGTAAGCACAGTATACCAGCACGACGACGCAAATGTGCCACGAAAGTGACAGCGACCCGATACATAGGTTTTGGCCCTCACGAGCGCGTGGTATACACCCTTTAACGACCTCGCAATATATGCACGGACGCACCAAAAACAGCACGCCGAGTTGATAAGTACACAGCTAAAGTGCTTTATGTAAGTACACGCGATTCAAGACTACGTATCACTACGATCTGATAATAAGCCTACAGCCAAGTGGCTGTGTTCACCATACATATCGGAGCCAGTAAATACCGCTTGGAAAGGATATATGCATCTCTGATAATCATTAATTCTGCGAATAAGTCGGTAAAAAAGTCAATGGCGCTCATTCTATCATAAAAGTGTTATAAGACGGAATTGGTTATTAATTGCAATCTGATTATTTGATACGAGTCAGCGAACATCGCGTACTGGCCCTTCAATGATATCATGATATTATGAAGAGCTCAGCGAGTCCTATGGAGAGAAGAAATTGGTATATTCCGTGACCCTCAGCAGATACTAGCGGCTCTAAACAATATTATGCATGCGAAGATGGACAAAACACACGTTTTCTGACCGTCGCAATCGGCTATATAGTGCATAAAATACCTATCGGCTAGACAAAGTAGTACACGTCCATCAATTCACCCACCGTCGTTGTTGGATTCCAATACGCTTCAGTCGTCGTTTTTACTATCGCTAAGCTTATCTCGATCTCCTCACCGATTCATGTTGAGGTCTCGTGCACCAATGATAATGATCCACCTTTTGAATAACCGAAAGTGACTTTGCAATGAAGCGCACCTGAGAGTGTGTCATTTCAGGAGCGAAGTGCTCAGCTGAGAGTTATGACAAAATCTTTCAGTGTAAGATGGTGTTCATCATGTAGATGACTTTAAGGGAGCTGCTTAAGGAGCTGGGGTTTAACCAGCGAATTAGCGAGCTGTTTGTGGACAACCAGAGCACCATCAAGGTGTGCACGGACGCAGGTAACTTCGATGGAGATTTTTTTAAATGTAAGATCGCGACGACTACACGGTGTTCTCCATATGATCTGCTTTACTAAAAAAAATTCGGATGGGTCTATTGACATTAGCTAGAAAATCTCCATCAATATCGACCAAGCAGAGGTGCGAGTGCAACACGTTACATATAATAGTATTGTGTACACCTTCATGCAGCTACTTTCGATCCCTAGTGTCCATTTAATCGCCCACAGAAACTCAGCCCATACAAATTTCTAGTCAGCCAAAATGACACATGTTTTATTTTATATCGATTTTTGTATTGCGCCGATGGTGGCCGTAAATTGTGTCCAGCTTGACAAATCCCTTTTTTGTATGCGAGCCTCCCTATAAAGTGCACAACCGCGAGCGTTAGCACATCCTTGCTATTTTGAAGCATGTTTTGCAGCTTGTGTAAAACCGCACCGTCAAAAAAAAAATTGACTGAGTTATGGGCACTCGACGAGGTGGTCGTATAATTGTGTCCAGGAGTGTATCACTGTATAAACTATTAAGCTTGCTTCAAAGGAGACTGTCTGTGCTACTGCAGTGGATTATTATAGACAACGACGGTGAAATCCGCCATACCTTTGAAACACGCCCGAGTCCGTACATGGTTTTCCCATTAATAAAACAGTTTCAGCCAATCCGTATTCCGTATTTGGCCGTTTTGTACAATCACCCAGGATGTGTTGATTCCTGTTTCGGTTTTGTACATTTTGGTATCGTTTTTGTACTTTGTGTTCAGACTTTGAGCTGAAACTGCCATTTTAAACCAATAAAATAACTGTGCGGGTATGCCTGCTACGCGTAAAGATTCTATTTGATATGAAGGATAGTGTTCAGACATTGGGTGGATTTCACCGTCGTTGTCTGTACAAGTATTAAGAAAATACAAAAGCCTCCTCTGGTATATTTACAGCAATTGTACTCTACACTGGTTGCCATAGTCACTGGTCTATGTAATTAAAGAGATCTCGACGTGGTTTACACCTTACCAAATAAATGAGTACATACAACGTAACAGCAAAAATAGATGTTTTCCATTTAATAAACGAAAGAACGATCTATCTTTTACGAGACACATGTTGCTTGTTCTGGACTAGACGCGGTCAAACTGCTTAACTTCCAGCCGGTTTGATGCGTCCATATTAAAACTTACTGACCTTATGGTGACCTTGTTTCAGTATGTTGAGCACCTCGTGGTATTTTTCAAGCATCGCCTGATTGAACGAAAGATAGTACGTTGGATCAGCTTCGGCTTGCTTCAAACTGATCCCAAAGCTTTTTGCTAACGCCTTCACTTCACTGTAAGGGGGGGTTCTCTCTCTTCGAAATCGGCATCTGTCGAATGGCCGGTCCTCAGTAGTCGTTGGTTACCCTCGAGAGCATCACTGGTAGCGAGGAATGTAGCCGCGATCGCAACAAAGACGTAAGAAAAACGCATGAAGTAGTTGAATCGATTGACAATGGTTGTGAGAGTGGGAGCGAATTGCGTAGTGAGAGTAAAGTGATTGCACCATACATGTACCTGCTATCTTTCAAATATTAGTGTATTGCTGAAGATGCGGCACTTTAACGTCATCAAAACGATTAGTACCATTTTTACAGTATTCAATCCATGAGATAAAGCTGGAACTAACCAAATCATGTTATCGTGTTGGCGAGTACAACACCGTTTCGCTGCACTTATCCCCTTCAAGGATTGCCCTATTTCAGATTACTTGTCCACTTACTTACACATTGGTTTTGTAAGAAGATATGGGGAGATGCCGCCCACATTATAGAAAAGAGACATACTATAGCCCACAACTGCGACGAAATGAAGAAAAATGATTATACTGGGGATACCTTTAGGTACGGACAGCCCTCACCGGGTTAATTGCGCGGTACTGCGTAGCTAGTCTATTTGTTATCTCGCTCAACATTCGGCTTGCATTCCAATGTTGAATAGTCGGGTGAAAGGTATATATATACGATACATTCGCATAACAAGGATCGACCATGATGCCGGCTAGGCTCGGAGTTACATGTGTAGTCTACACACAGTATAGCCAAGCCTGGAGAAAAATTGGCTTATGAAAGGTGGAGTTCTATTTTAAAAAAAAAGTGTTTATTATTAACGGCAGTGATGGGTTCAAATGAAGAAGACAACACTATGCAATATGTACTGGAGTAAGCCATCACGTAGCAGTTGGAATACAATACCTGGCAGAGCCTGCGCAACCATGTCAGCCTGCTTCAAAACCAAAAACGTCTCGAAGTTGACGGGGGTTAAGCGGTCTCGGATCGAGCGCAGACACTCCACTACGACCCGAGGGCGGTTAGAGGTAAGTTGAACAGGTAGTTGGTTTGGTGTGAGGGCTTCTGTACGAATTGCAGTATCGTGCGCTCCAACAGTATTGCAGTATTGTAAATGCTAGCAGTATGGCATGTATTGATCAATGCCAAAACTTAAAATACATTTCTACCCATCACTAAATGTAATAACGGAATCCAGTTATACTTTACTTAATGGCGTTTCAGCGATGTTTGTTTTTTCACTCGCATCTATTCGCCGCTGGCTACGTGGAAAATAATGGTATCTCCAGCTAAGTCGAAGACGATCTAGCTGTTTGTCAGAACTCCGGCAATTTTGGTCTGCTGCTTGAAATGCCCAAGTGTCAGCTTTAATTTAAGACAATCAAATTCCTTCACGACAAATATTAGAAGACAAGTGTAGAGAAACGGACCGGCAGTACAAGCAGCCCTGGTGGGCATGTAAAAAGTCGGTAAGTAACGCTCAGTTATCATGCAAATATTTACATTTTGGTTTGCATAACCAAATGTGAATCTATAATTTAAACCGAATCGTCACTTAAAAGGAACAGCAGGGGGGGGGGGGGTACAGGAGGCTTGAGCTCGCCATAGAGAATGCTGCTGACCGATTCGGAAATACTTAAAGTTTATCGGTTTGGAAATCTGTAGCTTAGCACAAGACACAGAAGCAGTGGGAATTAATTTATTTAACCGAACTTCTTCTCTGTTTTAATATTGTGTTATCCCATTGGCATTTTCCAAAGCGCTTCGAGCTCCCACAGTCATTAATTATCTACCGAATTCCTCGATGAGTTGGCCCCCCGTGGTACATCAGCAAAGGGGGCCAACCCATCGATGAAGACCCTTTAGACACACATGCATATCATTGGTTAAAACTGCACGGATCTTCTGGCGGGCGCTCGCCGCCAGCCATTGCAAGTTTCGATGGTTCGCGCACGCATGTCGTGGCTTGTCAACTCGTGGGAATCGATTCCAAGTGAGTCAACTGTGAAAACGTTTGCTTCAATTGGTTATGGAGTACAACAGACAGATAGTGGGCTCAATCAAGACGACCAGCAAGGGCAAAGTGTACCTGGCGAAGAAGGAGAAGACGAAGAGATAGATTTATCAGATTTAGTGCTGCATGTTAGGCTCTAAAATGCTCTTCCACGTCCGCTAGCATCAAACAACAAACAATCCCCTTGTTGCGCTCAGTTCGACGGCGTTTCTGGCTGTTGTCAGACTTTCGTAGGTCCTCGACGACTGTAGCCATTTTGTTTTCGTATGCAGCGCTCAATCGTAGCAGCCGGCGGGGTAAATACCCTTCATGACATGCTTGCGATCCCGAACGAATGACGTACGCCTTCAGCACATACTCAACTTCCCCTCCCTCCGCCGTGATAACCTCCCCTCTGAATACGAGGACATCATCAACCTTCAAGTACTGGCCGCAAACATCGTGCGTAGCGCAGCTTCTCCCTCCATCGCCATCGTCACATCCGACAACATCTACACCGGGTATCAACGACGCTGGCGCTCGCTCCTGTGTAGCATTGCAGGTCATCAGAACACGACATCGAAGAATGCCATAAAGATTCTTACCATGCTCTTCCTACCAGTGTCGGCTGCAAGTCTGTGATTGGACGTTAGGAGGAGGTCTCTTCAAATGTTGCCCATCATTTAGTATAGGAAACCCGGGTGAGGGGGCAACTCTTCGGTGAAATTTGAGGGGGCCAACACATCGACGAATTCGGTAGAGTAAACGTTGAGTCTGAATGACCGAAGTGTACACGCAAATGGCTAGCAGCAGCGCCCCTCCCATCTTTAAAATTTATGGGTGTCACGAGGATCCTGCCAGACTCAGGGCATGATATAATACCATTATTATGAGTATTTTACTTGTAGAATAATTGATTATTGCCTAAAAGGCGTTATTTTATTATTATTGCAACTTTTTAAACCGAAACTAGAAAAAATGTATTGCAATAAAAAAGCGTTTTCGACAAAGTTATTTAATATTGAAATCTCGATATCATAGTCATTACGAGCGAATTTTTCAGCAGTATAATATTTTCCATGGGCTGGAATAAGTCACGGAATGTAAAGGGCTCATAAAAAAATAAATATAATATTTTAGTTATGTATTGTTTTGACGGAAAAATAAATTATTGGGTAGGAAAGGTCTCCGTTCAATTTACAATTTCCCCGTAATAATTATACTAATCTTTTTATAAATGAAACGTGGCAGCAGCAAGCTGGAGGTCGAGCCACCAATAACTTGTTCATACGAGAGCAAGTAAAGACATCTACCACTATGTGAAAATTAAGCAACCCAGATAAAATGTTCACAATCTGCAGCCCAGGGTAGGCCCAGAACCTGATAAATCTATATCTTAAATATATCAGATTCCGTGTCGAATACAGTTAATAGGAGGTCATGTACTTTTCTGTACAAAAACCTATACAGACAACGACGGTGGAATCCGCCAAACCCTAAAAAAACCTCCATCTTAAGTAGATGTTTCAAACTCTAGTATATATATATTAGCCAATGACATTGTTTGAAAAGTTTGGTTGGATGCTACAAGCTCGTCGCGTCCACACCATGCACTAGGAAATCAGTTCGACAATGGCCCCCCAGCACTCGTACAATATACGCATCAAACGCGAAGCCATCGCAGCCGCCGAAGCTAGGCGAGAGGGCTGCGTCATAGGAGCTTGACATTCCTCGGCGCACTCTTCGGGACTAGGTGGATGACAAGCAGTATTTAGGAGCTCGAGGGGCCACAAACAAGCAGGACGGTCAAGACCAAGGTGCACGGAGCATTATTCCCTTCACACACGATTTGGTCACGTTCATGAAAGATGTCAGAAGAGAAGAGCAGGTAAAACCTAGTGATTGATCGTTTCTTTTAATTTTGACTGACGTCTAATATGTATATTTTCCTGGGCTAGTATTTGTGTACAAGTTTGGTGATATAATACATGAAGTGCCATCAGGCGCAATGGTTAAAGGGTTATTTGGCCGGAAAGGACAGTTTCGATAAGGGACTAACATCTCTAATGAAGTTATGCCAGCGTTTCGCAAAGCGGTAAAGTTTTTATCCTAAGCTGGTAGCTTGACATCAGTATGAATTTATTCGAATCTGTTTAGTCATCGATTTACATGTCAGACACCTCAATATACCAAGAAAAACACAGAGGCCATGCAAGAAATCCACTGGCAGTTTGCCGTGAAGTTTTGGAAAAATTATGGGTCTTTTTCAGCGTCGTGAATTTATAATGTTGACGAGACGGCTGTCTATTACGACATGCCGTCTCTTAGAGATGGGCTTTAAAAGGGCGAAAGGGGTCAGCGAAGGTGAAGAGAGCACAAAACACCCGGGGCGCGTAGCTGTTGTGATAACAGCCAGAGCAGAGGGTTAGTTCTGCATTGTTTTCTTTTTTTTACTATTTTTGACTCACTGATACTAATAAATGTAGGTGTTATTGTAGGGAGAAAAAAACTTCCAATACTGTTTATTATTAGAGGTAAACCCGGCGGACGTCTGGAAAAACAAGAGCTGAAAAAAACATACACTCCGCAACACGTTCATGCTGTTCAGGAGAGTGGATGGATGGATGCAAGGGTATGGGAACACTACGTGAAGGAGTTACTACAATATAAAGTGGACGCCTCGTCCGTCATTATGCTGGACAATTTTGCTGCTCACGTGTCCGATGCTGGCATCGAAGTCATCTCGGAAACAACGTCTGTGTATTTTCTGCCAATAGCACGGCTGTATGCCAGCCATTAGATGTGGGTGTCATGGGACCCCTCAAAAAGCGATTTACAGCTCACTGGATGGCTGAGTTCAGCGTCGATGTCCCGATGATAGATGAAAGTCCGGTGGTGGAGTGCAATTGTGTGGAAGATTGCTCATGCGATGTGGAGCGTCTGCATCGAGGAATGTCTATGCGGAGAGGAGTGCCTTTACTCTGATGGGTGCATCTGCATCGTGGAGTGCAAATGTGACGAGGTGTGGGTGTGCGGCGAAAACAGTGATGAGCGAGGTCAGTCGCTTGCTCCAGAAAAGAGAAGAGCTACCATTTGAGCGAACCATCCGAGCATGGGAGGAGCTGTCAAGCGGTCTCATCATTAAAAGTTTTGAAAAAGCTATAGCTAAATACCCGGTAGTTTAAGTATAGTTTGGTTTTTATGAACTGCACATACGGTATTTTGGCCTTCCTATGTCAAATGTATCTGGATTTTGGCCAATTAAATCTTTGGGCGTGTATTTCTGTCGTGTGAAATACCTTAATTGTATATTAAGGATGGTGTTCAGATAGCTGTCGGATTTCACCGTCGTTGTCTGTATCACTCTCCTGTGCCGTTGCCGGCTCATTTGGATTGGCGACCCTAGTCAGGACCGAAAGCCCTGCCCCCCCTCCCCCACGGCGTGGTAACAGGTGTGGGATTCGAACCTATATGTAATGAATTTTCCCAAACCACTTCACTGTTCGAGGCCCTAGCAATTCTCTCAAATATTTGCAATACTTATAATTACTGGCTCCAGCATTACTACAGCACAAAATACTTTTTTCAGCGGAACCAGCTCAATTTTATTTTTAACTGTCCGATCCCTGGTCAAAACCCTTAACGAAGCGTAGAGCTTTGGAATTCTACATCCGTACCTTTTTTGTGAGCTGCTGGAAGCACACGGGGAAGGAAGGAGAGAACCTTCACTTCTGGGTCCGTGGGGTGGATATCGCCCTGAAGTCGGGTCTCATCTCGGACGAGCCACTTCGGGTGGCTTTTGCCCTGTCCAACCTTGGTGGACGTGCCAAGCACTGGGCATTCACCAGTGAACAGCTTCGAGCCGCGTTCCTACTGGCGAACAACGAGTTCCGCCAGCGCTCACGTTTTCTCGCGTGTAAGCAAGGTAAACGTCGGCGTGCAGGAGTACGTGCAAGAGGTGAGCACGTTGGTGGCATCGTTGGCAGGGAATCCTCTAACTGAAGACATTAAGACAACAGTATTCATGGACGGCCTGAAGGTCGGTCCTGCTCGCACCCAGCTCTTCCGGGTGCTATCGACAACTATGGAGGAGGTGATTCAAATCGCCCTCCAAGAATAGTACGGCCAAAAACAGGCTGATACGCATCGGAAAGAAGGATATCGCCACGTTGAGGATGGTGCTCCTCGGGAGGCGGAGCATCACGGCAACTACGCTGTTACTCCCGCTGTCGTTGATACCGGTGCGTACAGCGAGCCCGAACACATGGACTTAACCTCGATCGAGAGCTTGGCCCGATGCTACGGATGTGGAGGACATGAATACTACCAGCGTGTATGTCCCTTACCAGTCATCGGGAAAAAGACAACCCGTGGGATCCAGGCAGGCCATGGTTAGGTAGACGAAGACTCCCCGGTCACCAGTAGAGGCGGTATGCCTTACTGAAGAGCGCTAATCCTTTGTGATGGCTGTGCAGGCTGTGCTCACCACGAGACTTAGCCCAGAGATACGTGGTTCTCTCAACCGGTGAAGGGCAGTGATGAGTACTGGTAGTACACTCGGTGTACGGGGGTATGGTACCCTTTGAGCTTTTGATGAGTTCTGGGGCGTTGATACGCCGTCGAAACGTTACTCGGCCTGTCTAATACAGTTTCTTCCCATCTTACCGACCGCGCCTATCTTTCTGACTAAACCTAGCTTTGCAAAAATTACAATTATATTTAAAAGCGTCACACAATTAACTCGCGCGGGCATTGGTCAATATTTGCTGACCTGCGACACTGACCGGATCTGTCGCACGATCAGACCATCTCTCGCCCTCGTGAGGTAAACATTTCTGCCGAGCACGAAACGCACCGATTGGATGTAAGCACCAAGACGGACTGTGCTGACGATTGCGTATTTACATTTAGCTACGCAAAAACTGTCGTTTGTATTGCAAATCGGGCACAGTAACCACTTTATTTTGAGCGAGCTCTGCGATGTTATTCTCCCACTTTTCAAAGTATAGACGGTAGTCTTATAATAATTAAATGTAGACTTCACGACATTTGCGTTAGCAGCATCCGGGCACCGCACTGCATGCGCGCATGGTACCTACGTGATAGTGTTTAAAACCGTTATTATT